AACAGTTCCCAGTTAGAAATCCAGCAAAAAGAGTTTAAACACAGAACAATCAATGGCAGAAATGCCTGCAGCATCTATGAAGCGATAGGAAAATTGCATGTATAAACTACTTCTGACTAATTCTGTCATAGAGTACTGTACAACCTCTACTTGTGAATATGTTCCTTTAGAAATTAAACCCATATAATGCAAAGAAATAAATTGTTTTTGGGCTTTACTTTGCAAATTGTAGTCATAACGACAACAGTTAATACATTTCTGTGTTTTTGTAGACTTGAAGTTAGAAAAACTAAAAATGACAATTGTGGTAAACTACACGTGACCCAAGGAAATTCTTCTTTGGGTCTCATACAATCTTGATCTGACCCTAGACTAAGATGCTGCTCTGTGTTGTTTACCTGCCAGTGAGTTTTGCAGATTTTTTTATTTTTATTAAAACATGTAAGGTCATGTTGTTTATCTAGTCTAGATCCCCCGAGTCTTATCGTTTCTATAGTTGCTTATAAACTAAGAGCTTATAAGAAAGTTCCTAAAAACTCTGTTGAACTTTAAAAACGCAATAAAAACATTTACAAAGGCATTGCTCCAGCTAACATGATTTATCCCTAATAAATATACTCAAATTAAAGGACTCAAATTAAAGGCCTGGGCTATACAGTGTGAGAGAAGGGTGCTGCAACAAACTACATTTGATTTATGAATTACTTATCTGTCAGGGCTGTCAATCGATTTGACTGTTTCCTCAGTGTGTAAAGGTATGTGGTTTTATTTTAATTATTATTTGTATGTCAAAGGAAACACAAAAGCAATAATAAAAGAAAAAAATACATAAATATAGCATAGCGTGTACTCACTGAGGATATCTGTCTTTCAGTATCTTCATACATTGCCGAGTAGGTCTCAGCTGTTCAGTCCACCTCGCTATTTCTTTATACTCTGCACGGGACAGCCTCATCCTTCGCCTTCTACCATATGCATAAACACAAAGAACAGAGAAATTAGATTTATTCAGTCGGGAGCCTGGTGTTAGGAGGAAAACAGACACCTGTCAGACCCAGCTGAGCTGCTAACCGCAGTTAGCTTCATACTTTCGTCACGTACCAAAGTAAATGCCTCTCCCAGACATTTCCTGCCATCTGTGTAGAGTTATCACACTTCTCATGAATACGGCATGCAAGAAACAAAACAACCCAAGCGGTTTAGTAACAGGTAAAGTGTTTATTTACCTTCGATTCCTGCTGCCTGGGGAACAACCTCGAATAGCTTCTTCCCGCTAGGAAGTTGAAGCAAATGCGTTTTTGTGAAAAGTGAGCTGATTGGCTCATCCGTCCCGGATCCCAGTAAACCGCTGGATGATTGGCTACTTCACAGTAATGGGCGGTGTAAATCTTAATGGTTTCAGAGTCTCTCTGCAGTTGCATTCGTGCCGTGTTCAAGTGTGGAAGCCCATTTCGTTATAAAAGTGCTGTCTCACGTCACTTGCCAAGTATATTGTAGCCCCGAAGTCCAACAACTCTCGATATTCAATAACTTGAAAGGTAGGCTGTCATGGAGAATTGGAGGAGACACAGCGATTATTGTTATCTATCAAAAAAATGTATCTGCTTCATAGCAAATCAAAACGTCCATTCCTGTTCCGGTAAGATTCGGAAATAATTTCACTAATAAATAATTTTTAATTATTTTAATTTTAACCATGCATACATTTCAAAGAGATTTAAGCAATAAATATTTCACCTAGGGGAATTTCTCTCAAAGAAATAGTGTTCTCATAATGAAAACTAAAACTGTGCAGTTTTATTTATTTATTTAGTATAAACAGGATGTTCTGCTCATTTGTACTGATTAAACAAACTGTTAAATTTTAAAACATAATATTGGTGCAACAATTTGAATACAGCATTCGGTACATTTTATTAAATATTTCTGAGCAGATATAGTGAACTACTAAGAAGGGTTCTGGGGATATTGTGTAAGATTAACTCCTAAGAATGGTTGTACACATCATTGTGGAGCATTGTGTGCAGAAGGTGGAGAGCTGGAAAGAATAGGAGCTTCTTAAAAAAAAACATGCCAATTTCAATGTATCAAATTGCGAAGTCAATTTTATTCTAAGTTATTTTAACTTAAGGTGACTTGATTGTGCTATAAAATGGGACAATGTGCCAGATAAGCAGATACATTTTTTATGCTTTCAATGGCTAATATTTAAAACCCTCCAAAATTACTTTTTATAGTGTTGCTTTTAATTTTCTAAAGCTCTGTGGGCTGTCACTATTCACACTTTTCACCTAACTAGTTATAGCTGCAGTAAGTAACTGTTTTAAAAATATATTTTTACACATTAGTTAAATGTTACTATGTTGTGACTCGTGACAGTACAATATGAGACAGATCATCTATGAAAATTGGAGCTGCTCTGCTTCCTCCCAGTGATCCCAGTGATTCTATTATGGAGTGCAAATGGCATATCCTACTGCCATTTGCAAAAATGTGGCTCTGATATGAAAAAAAACTAATCAGAGCCAGTGGGAAGGTCTTTGTAGTGTCAATCATGCTTGAGTACACCTTCCCTCTACATGGTACGTACAAGCTCAAGATTCCTGGTGTGCTACATCTTCCAGTGGCAGAGAAACAGCCTAACGTTGCTGGAAAACAGTTTATTTACCGTCATCAGTGGCGGTGCTTTCTAGCCTTTGTATCCCCTTTGGAGGAGGAGCTGCAGCGAAGGAGACAGCAAGAGCAAGGGAGGTACATATCTGAGCACAACTGACAGTGCTAAAACCTTACACCTGGCTCTGATTGGTTAATTCTGACTGAGTGTGTTGTATTTCTGCAGATGGCAGTAAGACCACAAACAGATTTTCTTTCACAGGTTATGTCTCCCACTGTCGGGTCATAGTGACAGTTTTAACAAATATTTAAAAACAGATTTTTAAAAAAAGTTACCTACCGCACCTTTAAGATCTGACTTATGTGCGGATGCAGAGTAACAGCATGTCTGAATAATACAAAAGAAAACAGTTTTAGCTTAACTAATCAACATGTGCTTTACAATCAGTTGACAAAATTTGTTAGCCTTTTTTTTTCTTCTTTAAAACGATTGTGTAGCTATGATGTAAATGTTTTAATTTCTTTGAAATGTCACATTTCTTCTAGCTGTGCATTTTAGGTGACGATGGGGTTAATTCATCCAGACCAATTCGTCTAATATATCCCTTGAGATCAGTATAATGTAAAAATGTCTCTCAGCAACACTAAATTAGACTCTAATTAGGACTTCATATCAAGAATTGAAATTTATGGATTTTTAAACACATGGACAAAGCGTCTTTTTGGACAGATAACTGAGGGATTTTAAACTTTAATTGACAGGATCGTGTGTGTGTGTGTGTGTGTGTGTGTAAGTCAAACACTCTTTCACTTTCCTCCGTTGTGGGTGGACAATGCACAGAAAGCTGCCATCTGACCTGTGTCGCGTCAGAAAATAGAGTGCATTGTTGATGGGCAGTGTACTATGATGTCTGAGATGAGCTTGAGGTCTCGAGCAGCATGTTCACCGGCACAATCCGTGGGTCTGAAAGGGCTCAGCGCTCCACGGTTGCTACAAAAGGGGAGCTGTGTAGCGGGATTGCTGCGGCCAGATAAGATCAGGGCCTCTGAGGAAGTCTGCTCTGATTGCTACAAAGGGCTGAGGTCAGGGGCTGGAGAAGCAGTTTATTCATCTAGGTATCAGAGGATCAGGGGGCTTTGGTGGGGAGCCGCGTGTTTAATAGGTATAAAAGAATCCATGTAATGCAATGGTATAAAAAGATAAAAATCAGAGAGGGGGGTTTGAAGGCTGTGCACTGTAATAGCTCCAAAAGCCAGGGGATCAGAGATTTTGTTGCAGCGATGTCTACTCCATTTCTCGTGTGCAACGCTGTGCACTTTAGTGCACGGCCGCGTGTGTTTGCGTGCATCTTTGACTGCTTTAAGAGCCGTCCTGGACTGTGTTTGAAGCTGCGGTGATTGAGGGGAGGCAGTGAAATGATGAGAGCTTCGGAGGCTGAGAGTAAACAGGGCAGCGGCACACCCAGTGTCGCTAACCAGCTGTGAAGCCTGCTCACAGTAGGAGATGAATTTACAAAGGATGTGTCCCTCTGATATCCAAGCAGGGCTGCACTGATCTCTGCTTCACGGCTCTTGGCGCACCATTGTAGTGCCAGGCACTGAGCCGCTAATGGTACTTAGATACCTTAATGGCAGAAAAACATTTACATTTTCCTTGTGGCAGAGGGGAATGTGGCTGCGGACGTGTGTATGGGATGAAAAAAAAAATAAAAAAGCGTTTTCTTACCATTCTTTTATTTTGTTCACCAGTATATGCAGAGAAATGTTTAAATATGTAACAATGTATAATTTACTTTTCACACAACTGGGCATGGGCTGGGTTAAGATTCTCACAGTTTGATAACTGGTATTTAAGGAAAGATTTAAAACAAAATGTAATTTTATCAACATGATCTAACTAATTTCAATTTAAACAAAAACTATGTCCCTTTGTCTCCTAAAATGATACATACAGCACCTGTCTTTCAAACACTGGGTTCAGCAAAAAGCCAGTGTATGAAAGACACTTGCTTTCATACACTGAAAGCCAGTGCATGGCTTTTAAATGCTTTTTATGCATTTAAAAATGCATAAAAAAAACATTAGCTGATTAGCTAGTTTATTAGCTAAGTAGCTGTTGTAGTTAGCTTCTTGACAGCCATGCCAATTGCAGTTTGCTGTTTGTTATATGAAAACAGAAATATCTTTAATAAGAGTTTTTTGTGTGTGTGTGAAATGTGTAGTAGTTTTCTGTCAGTACAGCTGACCACCATTGTGCAGCAATGGGGAGGTTTTTGTCACCCTGTGCTTCATACAGCGAAAGAAAAAAAAATATCTTTTATATCCTGAAATGGCTTTGAAAAGCAGGAATGATATGATTTAAACATAAGCAATTTTTTAAATCAAAACTGCCAAACCTTGGTTATCTTAGTACCTGTAGCCAGCCCATGCCTAAAAGAGCCAGACCTTTATCAGGGATATTACTCACTATGTACATATGATGAGCATTTAAAAATTTGGTAGTACCTCAAACTTCCTTTGTAATATTGCACTAATTTAAAAGACGCAGATCAGAAATCTGGCAATTTGCAGGCAAGAAATGCTTTCCTGTATTAAGGTATCAAATTCACACTCCTTACTTCCTGCATCCCCCCCCCCCCCCCCCCCCCCCCCGGGGCCCACCCCCCCAAAACAAACCCCCCCACTCTTTTTCCACACACAAAA